AGAATTGTTGGCATTTGAAATGGCATTTCAAACAAGTTATGTTTTATATTCGCTCATCCTTATAATACAAATAGAAACTATTAGATTTAACAAAGTCTGTATATAATTCAATCTTCTGAACCCTTAAGTTTCTTTGCCTCTAACCAGACATTAAGAATATCACACAATAATTCTAACACACATACATCAAAGAGGAAAGAGATGAAGGGGTTATGGGGGGCAGGGAGGTAGGGGAAGGATGAGAGAATCTTAAACACACCTTGTGTGAAATGCCATGATACCTATTACTTTGTATGCTAATTTAACAAACAAAAAGAAATAAAGAGATCAGTGTTGGGGAAAGAAAAGTTTGAGTGTGTCAACCTATACACCTTTCCTTACCATGGTGAGATCTTAATAAACTCTACCTACTTCAACCTTTTTATAGTAATGACTTAGGATACATGATACATAAAATCTAGTACAGAGCATAAAAATCTAATCAACAAGCATATCCATGTTCCAATGACATCACCCCAAAACATGGTTTACAGTAGTAACAATTATTTTTCATTATTGTTCATTGTTCCGGGGATTAACTGGGGTTGGGATTTCTCAGGGGTCTAATGATGATGTTGGCCAAGTTTAAAAGCCTCCAAAGACTGGTCCAAACACTTTGGGCTAAAGAAAAGGCTGAGATGCCTCAAAACAGTTGGGGCTTCTTGGATCTTTCTTTAAGGTCACATTCCTTTATGGCAGCTATGTCTCTGAATGCTATGTTCCAACACAGAAAACTAAGTAGAACCCAGCAACAGTATCTTGGTACTTTATTATTCATAAGAGACAACCAATAAATGCCTGCCCAGGTTCAAAGAGAAGGAATACATCTCTTTATTGTTGGGAGAAATGTCAAAAATGGAAGACACTTTAAAAACCACTACATGCCCTTAGTTTTAAGAGATCAATGAATTATATAACTTTAAAAAAAAGGGGGGGATTATGCCTACATGTATGTTAAGCGCACCCATGTCATGTGATACCCATGAAGGTGAGAAGTGACCATCAGATCCCCTGGTACAGGAGTTACAGATGGTTGTGAGTTACCATGTGGGTGCTGGGATTCGAACCCTGGTTGTCTATAAGAGCAGAAAATGCTCTTAACTGCTGAGCCATCTTTCCAGTCCTATTATGTAACTTAAGGTGATTCCTCTGGTGACTTCCTTCACTGGCTATAAAAGTATACTTTGTACATGTTTCGATTAATTTTTCATCTTAAAATGGTTATAAAGAAAAATAATATAACACTGAACATGCTTTATTAAAGACTATACTCTGACATAGGGAAATAATCTCTATGAAATAGTCATTAGTTTTGGAACAACTTTCTTTAAAGTACCTTAATAAATGTTTAACATCACTTTCTTTGTCCTGAAGCTTATCACCGATATTCTATGCCACAGCACTCTAAACTGTAAATCTCAAATCCTTAACAAGATGGGATGGTCAATAATTTGGCACCAGTAAAAGGTTTCTGAATGCAGAGCAATAAAAAATTAATTCAAAACTCAAATGTAATAGCCCTGAAATGTTTCTGGAAGCACTTGCTATGTTACACCAAGATTACACTGTAGCCTTGGTTCTAAACAAACGACATGCGTATTTTGCACTGGGTTTTAGTGTATTGCTTAAGTTTTATGTTCCTACAGAAATACAAAGAAAATTTTACTTATGGAATACCTGAGGATCTGAGATCCTGGGACCCAAACAGTAAAAATAAATAAATAAAAAGAGAGCTGTCTCAACCATGTTGTAACTGACCTTACGCAGACACACAGAATGATGTAATTTGAAATTTTAACATTATATTAATGAAGAATTTTAAACACACATTCAAATTTTTTGTATTTCATGATAGCTAAAAAATGAAGATTTGGCCAGGCATGTTGGTGTACTCTTTTAATCCCAGCACCTGAATCTCTCTGAGTTCAAGGCCAGCCTGGTCTATATAGCAAGTTTCAAGCCAGCTGGGGCTACAGGGAATAATCAGGAGCACCTTTGAGTCACAGGAATGGTGTGTTCCTCAGGATACTGGTATCTTCGAGTTGAAATTATGCTTGAAAATTAGCTTTTTGAAGAATGCTATAAATAATATAGGGTCTTAGAGTCAAATTTAGAATTTTTTTCATTTCTGTTTCAGTAAAACATTTCTGAAATAAAGATCAGCAAAAAATTTTAAAGAAAAATATACTATTTAGGGTGGTAGGTTGTAGCCATTGTTTTATGGAAAGAAAACAAAAGCAATGAACTGAACAGAAAGAAATGAATGTATGGTTATGGCAAGAATTCTAGAAAATTTTTGGCTCTCCATTTGAGTTTGTTGTGGAAAGGCTACTAAAGAATGCAGAATCATTCTTGTGTGGAATATATAAGGCAAGGA